ACTATCAGAAATAGGATAGATAACCCCAGCATTCAACAGTTTAAGAATTTCTTTTTTCACAACTTCCTTAAGGTTAGGATTCAATCTCCTTTGAGGTTCAATACTAGAGTATGATTCATTTTCCAGATTAATCCTATGCATGCAGAGACTAGGTGAGATCCCCTTGATATCATCTAAGGAATAACCTATGGCCCTTCTATATTTTCTAATCTCAGTGACTAGCAACTCTAATTCCTCATTACTCAAGCTAGCATTCACAATGACAGGATAAGTAGAGTTGGATCCAAGGAATACATACCTCAGTCCTGAGGGTAGCGGTTTGAGCTCAACCTTGGGAGCTTTTAACTCTGACCAGTCATCATCAGCCGCATTGACAAGGTCAACAGCAGGGTGAGTGATCGGGCTGCCACTGACATCATCCTCTACTGTGCATACCTCCTTGACAGACTGATCCAATTCTTCAAAACGTTCGGAATTATCAATTGCCTTGTAGGTATCCAGCAATGTTTCGTAGACCTTTGTCTCAGCATGAAAAAATCCATCTGATCCATTCTTTGTCAAAGCTGTCTTGAGATGATCCTCCTCAGCAAGTTCTTCTAAAAGTTCATCAGCTAGCTGATCCATCTCCTCTATCCAGAAGACCTTGCCATTGATTGTTGGTTTCTTCATAGACTCCTTGATGTCAAATGTCATCTTGAAATCTTCTCCCAAGCATAGGTCTATCTTTCCCTTCTTAACATCAATGATAGCTCCAACAGTGGCTAGGAATGGTCTTCCAAGAATCAGGGGATCCTTAGGCTCTTCATCCATTTCCAAAACAACAAAATCTGTAGGGACTTCAACAACACCAATCCTTATTGGTAAGTCTTCCAAAATTCCATGTGGGAGCCTCACTGATCTGTCAGCTAGAATGAGAGATATGTTGCATGTCTTGTATCTTGTGAATCCTAAACGCTTTGCCACAGACAATGGCATAAGACTCACAAAAGCTCCAAGATCACATAGGCATCTGCTGAAAGATAGGGGGCCTAGTGAGCAGGGTAGAGTGAAGGATCCAGGATCCTTAAACTTCAAGGGAGTGATCTTCTTCTGGATAATGGCACTGCATTCATGACTCAATATCACCATGCCCTGAACTTCTTTTGTTCTCTCCATAACCAAATCTTTGAGGAACTTCTGATAAGGAGGGACAAGTGCGAATGCATCCAGCAATGGCATTCTCAACTCAATCTCTCTCACTTGCTTTTCAAATAAAGCCTTATACTTCTCTGCTTGCTGCTTTTTGAATCGTCCTGGAAATGGTAGAGGTGGTTTGTATGGTGGGGGAACGTATCTCGCAGGCTTCTCCTTGGATGCTGCAGGTGTTTCAGCATGTTTTTCAGCAGGTTGAGGAGCTTCTTCATGTACGACTTCTGATTCTTCCAAAGGAACAACCGGATCTTCATTCTGACATACATCCTCCCCTCCCAATTCTTCACTGTCCTCAGTGACTACAACAGGTCATTGTCTGGGAGGCAAGTTTTTACCGCTCCTCAGCGTGATGGCATGAGCAAACTCCTTAGGATTCTGAACAGCTTTTCCTGGGAGTTGGCCAGGCTTTGGGGCAGAAGTAGAAGCAGTTTTACCCTCCATATACTTGATCTTGGAATTCAGAGTCTCAATCTTCATGTTCAGATCATTATATGAGCAGTCCAATCTCTGAGTCAACTCAGCAAACTTCTTAGCATTGTCCATGGAGCCACTTGCTTGTCCTTGTAGGAGTTGCTGAAGCATGTTTTTCATGTCCTGATCTGGTGCCTGAGGAGCGTGTTAAGGTTGGAATCCTGGTGGTGGTCCTGCTGGAGGTTAGTAACCTTGCTGAAATTGTTGTTTGGGCACATAACCTTGGTTGTAGGGCACAAATGGTTTGTTCTGCCCCTGCTGCTGCTGTTGTAGAGGTGGATAAACCTGATCCTGGGGGTTTGCAACATTGGTGCTCCGATAGGACACATTTGGATTCTGCTTATAAGGATTGTATCCCTTATTGTATCCACCTTGGTTCTGGACATAACTTATCTCCTCAGATTGTTCTCCCTCCCCATTCAGAATCTGGAAAGGGTCGTCTTCAGAGACGAAATGGATGTTCCTCTGCTGGCTCATCAATAGCTTGTCCAACTTATCATTCACAACTTTCATCTCCTTCTTGTACTTCTCATCAAGTTCTGTGCTTGCCCTGATGGTTCTATCATAATCTTCATTGTAGTTGCCATCAGATTGGGATAGGTTCTCAACAAGCTCCCAACCTTCGTCGACGTCCTTGTTCAGAAAGTTGCCATTGCTGGCAGTGTCAAGCAACATCCGGATCTTTAGGAGAACACCCCGGTAAAGAGTACTGAGGAGAGACTCCTTGGTGAGGCCATGGTGGGGGCACTGAGACTGATAACTTTTGAAGCGTTCCCAGGCTTCACAAAGCGTTTCTCCATTCTTCCGAGTGAATCCAGAGATCTCATTGCGCAGACGTGCAGTTCTAGAGTTGGAGAAAAACTTGGCAAGAAACGACTGCTTGCATTGGTCCCAAGAAGTGATAGATCTTGGTGGAAGAGTTTTCTCCCATTGATGAGCTTTGTCACCCAAAGAGAATGGAAAGAGACGTAGCTTGAAACCGTCCTCACTGACCCATTGATCTTGGTGAGACTGCAGAGACGATCAAACTCATCGAGGTGATCCAGGGGGTCTTCCATAGGCAGACCATGAAATTTATTCTGCTGGACCATGGAGATCAGACCACTCTTGATCTCAAAGTTGTTGTTCGCCACGGCTGGAGGCACTATACCCTGACGATGGGTATGGTTGCGTGGAGCATCACCAACTCCAATCCGTGTAGGTGCCCGTGGTGGGGGTGGTGGTTGAATGTTTTCCATCTTCACTTGGGGTGGTGTAACTCTGTTGTGTTGCTGTCGTGATGCAGGTACCAAGCAATCAATACGGTCGGAGGGCTGGAACAAGTTCTCTGTGCCTTGCGACCGTGTGTGCATACAACTCAAATCAGCTTATCTCTCTTATCGGTTGAGTGTGTTAGCCGAGTAGGAGTAGTTGAGCAAGAGTTGTACCTGAATCAATAGACAAACAGAAGGAATAGAGTGAGTAACTGTAGTGAATGTTGAGTAAAAACTTGATCTTAGCAAGTCTGAAATCTCAAATGTAACACACAAACACCCAAATGGCAGCGGCGCCAAATTGATACTAGGATTTTTCTATCAATTACCCTAGAGTACTATCATGTCATTTCAGTACAATAGGTATCAATCCAATCATGTGTGATGCTAGTAATCAAGATATATCAGAAATGATTAAGTCAAGCAAGCATAAATGATTTTTGGTTTTTAGTGATCCTAAGCGAACATGTTAAACATGCGATAAATGTAAAGCTGTAAAACATAGACTACCATGCATAAACTAAAACGTAACGATTATTGATACTGGCAAGAAAACAAAGCAGACCAAGTAAATAACAAGAGAATTAAACTGAAAGCACAAATGGATAGAAGATCCCGAGGATGAGGTTATTGATGTAGGTGGAGTATGCTAATCTACTTCGAGTGTTTATCAAACTGCAAACAGTCTAATCCCTAGACAATGAACTTCTAATACTAGTCAATCCAATCTCTTGGCAGAAACTATCAAGTTTACAACACTT